TGCAGTACTCGGTAACCTGTGTGGGCGTACAGACGATACGGCATTAACGGGTATTTGATCAACGCAATATTTGCCTTCTCTATATGCACCTGCAGCCGCCTATACGGGCGGTCAACTTCGTATCTGTTACGGGATTCGGTCGGTTATAACGTAGTTTTTTTCTCTATATATTTTCTGTAAATGCACACAATGAGCATATTCGCCGGAGTTTAAATATTACACGGCGTTTATCCTCGTGTACGAAAAACCCCCAAGTATCTATTACCGCGCGGTACTTTCTCGTTTGCCCGGCGATTATATTTTCACTTCTCTCTATCCGATGAGGGCAGTCCGCGTTCATTCGCAGGCGCAATGTAATTACGTCCCCGGTGGAAATATTGTATTGTAGAAACCGAGAGCGCAAAATACGTAAAATGCCAATACGGAATCTATACAGTTGCAATACCGTTCCGTCCGACGGATTTCGCGGCAAAATCGATGGAATGGCGGTGAAAAGGATAAAAAAAAGGGCGATATCGTCAATCGCAATAAGGATTATACCTATACGACGTTACTACTGCAATGGAACCGCGGCTAAACAACTAGACACAATGGCATTGCGACGCATTTCGGCCGTAAACTTGGCATTTGTATACACGCGCGACCGTGTAAATATTGAAATATTGCGGAAAACACAGCAGGCAGCGATTATCGCCGGATTTCTGTGTTTCTGCTATAGTTATACGTTAATGATGAAATCACAGCCGTAACACCTGCGTGTGTCACCGAAATTACCATATCGTGTACCGATACAGTCATAGAGCCGCGAATAAATCTATCTCTTTGCGGCACGAATCGAAAATATTTGTTTTACCCTTTTATAATCTGTTTGCCGATGTTAAAAATAACAAAAGCCCATTTTTCGCCACGACAGCAGACCACACTTTCCGCGCTGCCGCCGTGTTATAATCCTCGGAAAATCACGTCACTTGCAGCGAGCCGCTACCCGTGCGGCTATTATCCGAACTCTACAGGACGGTTCGTTCGTCATAAGCCAGCGATTATCTATGGAGATTTTGTGAGAGTTCGATTTTTTTTTTTCCGGGTATAATATCGAATCGTTTAATGTTATTAAGCAAAGAATACAAGGTTGATCTGAGTTACTGCGAAAACCACTCGGAGAGTTAAAAAAATGACCTCTTTAGTACACACAGACTACATCCGAAATACAACAAAAAAAAAAAAAACAAAAATGTTACTTACTCGGCATTTTTTGATTGGAGCGAGATTTCCGGCAGAAAAAAAAAAACGAAAACAAAATGCGCACATCGTATAGTAAAACCGATACATTTTTTGCCCCGTTCAGAATCGAATATTAATTTAAGCGACACGCTGTATAACATTCTGTGAAATCGCTTTTAAAAATATAATCTCTTTTCAAAGATACAAGAGAGTTGGATAAAATCTCGGGTTGCCAATTTTGTTAATCATTATAGCGAGTCGTGAATCGTATATTATTATGATAGCATATAATTTACGATAAGGACAGTGATTTTGAAAAATATTTATTTATTTATGTGTAATAACAGGCTTGCGACCACGACGTCGACATATTTACAAAAAACTACGAGTTCGGCATCAACTATATAATATGATATTTGTTCCGGTCACGAAAATAATATTATTGAGAACAAAAGAAGGTAGGGTTGGAATCAAGAACGTCTATCTGCCAAGACCCGAGGAGCTGGTGACAATTATAAAAAAAGAAAACCCCGAGAATCAAAAAAATTGCTTTTCTTAAATAACGAAACAAGCGTAAATTTGTTACGCGAAAGAAAACAATATTTGAAAACAAAATCTGTAAATTGTATTTTTGCAAACTAAATTGTTCAAATAATTATTCGAACAAACTTCGTGATGGACTTTTTGTCTATGAACACTGAGCGTACACAGTCCATTCGACCTATATACTCCCACACAGTACTTCTTGTCGGTATTCGTTAGAAAAATTATTTTATGTTGTTACTAAAAAAAACGACAATACAATTTTTCTAGGGATAATTACGTGTCACTCCGTTGCACCATCTAACGAGCGCCCTTGGCTGGAATCGGCAGTGGACATCAGGCGGATATTATGATACCTATACACAATATTGTAAAAAAGGATCGCGTAAAACGATACTGCAGTACACAGACAATAGCAGTGGGTTCTGCGAATAAAAAAAAAAAAATCGGAACCGCTCTGTATAATATTATTACGTCTTGCGTATTTATTCGATTTGTTTCATACCGGGCCACATAATCGAGTGACCGCGGAAACGGATTAAGCTCGTGCCGGGAGATTCGATACATGTTCGCTTTTATAATATGTGTGCGCGCCGTAAAACGGAAAAGCTTTTATTGTTTCCGGCGGTCTTTTTCGAATTTTTCGGTATAATAATACGATATGCGCGATGAAATTTGCGAGACAGCGTCAATATTTTTCGCGGCGACGCGAGTCCATTTTCAGTTGAACTATAAATTTTATACGATCCCGCAGAGACGCAAATCCAATTAATTCGTTTTTTTTTTTTTTTGTACTCGAGAGTATATTATGCTTGTATATTTTTACAAACGTACCCTCGGCACAAACAAAAAAAAAAAAAAAATAAATAAATAAAAATATAGAAAACACAATTAAAAAGTCGGTTTTTCACGGTGACGATTCGTATGTGTCGCAATGCGTATTATTCGCGATCCGCCGAAAACGCTTATCATACTGACCTCACGGTGTTTTTCGCGAAAAAAACCATCAGATTTCCGGAAACGATAAAACGCCAATATCGTTTGTACGGGTTTTGTACCGGGTGGTGCGACGGCGATTCGCATCGACAATATTGTTCGGATTTATTATTTTTTTTCATTTCGCATCGTCGGACACCCTCGTCGTGCCCGTCTCCGCGGCGCGGGCACCGCGCGTCGGGAACACGCCCCGGCGGCGCGCGTTTACAGTCTACTGCAGGTGCGCTCGTTTTCGCGTACCGCAAAACACCCTCGGCGACGGGCGATCGTTGCGGGCTCGGCGGGGAACTGGTCGATGTGGGGAGGGCGAGACCACCGTACGGCCTGCGACGACGGCGGCGAGACGGTCCGGAACGCGTCGACGGATTCGCGTATTCCGAATTCGAGGCGAGAGGGGCCGTTCACGCAGCAGAGCCACGGGAAAATAGCCTTTTGGGTGTTTGACACGCCGAAAAATGAATGCTATTCATACGGCGTTTCGCTACGAGCGTCGCGAAAAAAAAACCCCCCACGAACATTTGTCGGCGCGGGAATAGCGTTGCAGACGACGACAACGGAGACTGCGTGTCTGGTTACGGAACCGACAGTCGCCCGCTAGTACGTGGCGTCGGAAAATTCCGCTTTCCGGACGACCGGCGCGTAAACGAAACGACGGAAATTAATGGCCGAACGGAGAATACGTTTTACGACGAACCGTTACTGTAGAGCTCGGATTCAAAAATGATTACAGGCAATGTGCATTTTGTTTTGTTTTTGTATTTTCCGCTGCTCCAGGGGCAATGCGCGTTCCGAGGTGTTTGAAGTCGCACAATACCGATTCGATTTGTTTTTAACGCGATACCAACGGATATCATTTAACGCATTTAAGTGGCGTTTTTCACGATCACGCGGGTATAAATCGAAATTTGATATAGCCATAAAATGTGCGATTTCTATCCGTGTAAAATACCGCGATAACATAAAAAATCGAATTTTTAATTGAATTACACGGTGTAAAAAATATTGTAGAACACTTGACTATAATATCGATTAGCGTATTCAAAACCCGAAACGATATTTTACAATATCAAACATAATATAGGCGGACGCTTTCACAGTGTTTTGATCGGAGAGGTGGGCATATACAGGGTGTCTAACGTTGTTATACGAACGTGTTATCTCATTATTATTATTATTTTTTTTTTTCAATCGGGTTTCGAGTTGGTGGGACACACCTATACAGAAAAAAAATAATATTTTTGTTCATCTCTTTATCCACTGAAAAAAATAACTGTATTTTTCACTTTTAAAAAGTTTCAAAATAGCCAATCTGTTAAAGATATCATTCTAAACATTTTAATGTACTATACATTCATATCCGGTCAATTGTTTCTGAGCGATAGCCGTTTTAATTTCTAGACGATTAAAAAAATTATTTTTCCCTACATAATACGTGTGAACCAAAATCCGATCTTGTATCCGAATCTTGTACGATACATGTTATCTTGGAAAGTATTACTTTTTTTCGTTAAACATTTAAGAGACAAGTCAACAATTTTGCTTTCTATTTTTTTTTTAAAACCACTATACCTGGTTTTTGTTTTCAAATTACAACAAAAATACTAATAATTCAACCAATAGATGGAGTATTACTTAAAACAAATTCTGGTGTAGACATTTTTGATTTCCATCAATTTGAAGAACAGATGTACCACTTTTGAGTTTGGGTCGGGGGAGAGGGGTAGTGTATTATTAAAATGCCACGCGCCGTGCCGCCAGATAAATGGCATTACACCACTCTCCCCCGACCCAAACTTAAAAGTGGGATATCTCGTCAGCGGACTGACGGAAATGGAAAATTTCAACATACAAATTAACTAATATTCCGTCTATTTGTGGAATTTTCAACGTAGGTTCTCGTTTGAATATCAAAATTATGTACAGGGGTTTTACCTCCGAAAATAATATAAACATAAAATCGTATAGCAGTCGAGCTGTTTGTTTCTTAACCGTTCTGCAAAGCGAATTTCCTGAGAAAAATAATACTTTCCGAGACAATTGATGTTTTACGATAGATTGATCACCCTGTATAATATCAATGTGTAGTTATAATTGCCTCTCGTTGAACGGAACTCATTAATATACCGGCCCGACCGTTGCACAGCACTCGGAGAACAAATCAAAATGAGTTATTGCCGTTTTGTACAGGAACAAAACGGCAATTTTTCACCGACGGCGGGTGGGTGACCGTTGTGATAGTGGCCCGCTAAGGCCTTCGGAAATCGCCTACGCGGACGGCGGTCCGTGTCCACGTGGCGGGGTATTGGTGAAGCTTTCGACCAGCAACAATCGCACATCGGACGGACCTCACTGGTTACGATATCGCTACTGCGGCGGCCGGCGACGACATCTAGCGGCGCCCGTCGACCGACAGGTCGCACGGACACGCGTCCCGTTCCCGCGGCCGCCCGCGAGCGCAGCCGCTGCCGCCTGCCACCCCGCGCAAAAGTCGCCGTTCGCGTTGCTCTTCGGCGATCGCATTCCTGTCGGCGCTGCACGCGGACGCGCGACAGTAATAACGTTCGTTACCGTCCGCGCGACAGTAATAACGTTCGTTCCCGTCGGCGCTGCACGCGGACGCGCGACAGTAATAACGTTCGTTACCGTCCGCGCGACAGTAATAACGTCCGTTACCGTCCGCGCGACAGTAATAACGTCCGTTACCATCCGCGCGACAGTAATGACGTTCGTTGTCGCCCGCGCGATAGTAACAACGCCGTTACGCGCGTGTCGCGCAGCGTGTGGTGGTCGCAGTCCCGGGACGGACGTCGCGACGCGCGGTACCGGTCCTTTTTTCGAAATTCGATTATCGCGCCCGCGGGACCGTATATGATGTTGTACGATGGGCGGTGGCGTTGCGATCGCCGTGATAAAACAGCGCGATAACCGTTGTGGTCACCGGCGCGCGCGTGCCCGCAAAATGCCGCGCCCGCGTCCGAGACGGTTTATCGAACAACGCAGTGATCGGCGAAAACGAGCGTCCCGACGATGTAAAATATACATAAATAATGAGACGACACCGTCGCTCGGGTACCGACGTCGTCGTCGTTTTTTCGTCGCGTTTTTTTCTTTTTCCCTTTGTCTCCGTACTGCTCTTGAAAATCGCGCCGGATCACGGGGGAAGAAGGAGGACAACGCGGGAGTAAACGGCCCGCTATTTTTATTTGAATTTTTTCCCAAAGAGTTTCGTCACTACCCGCGTGCGCGCCATAGTGTTTTTTTTTTGGAAATCAGTATATTTGTATTGTTCTGTGCGTAACGAATCCGCGGTTTTGATTAATATGTCGTAATACGATAATTCGTCCCACACGGTTGTACCGCGCCCGCGCCAATTTGTATTATTATTTATTTTTACCCATATTCGTTTTTCGTTTCGGCCGTGTTAGAACTGAACGGAAACATTATGCATAATATATAGGTGGACTAAGAGTGTTCAATTGTGCGATTTCAACAGTGTAAATAAGAGCGAAAATTATAATTATACTGGCTTTCTGATCCGCGACAGCCAAATTATCGTCCGTATCACCAACGTAACCCATAAATAAATAAATAAGCAATTAGATGTTCGTACCGAATACACCAAAAAACCTCTGTTTCACCTCCTTAGGGATTAAATTTTCGAAAATCCTCTCTTAACGAATGCCTACGTCATAATATCTTTTACGAAATTTCCACCCGGTTCGTCCAGTAGTCCGGGCCAGGCGATGACGAATCAGTCAGGACAAGCTATTACAGTTGTTACGTTTAAGTTTATATACACCGGTATTTTTAAAAGGAGGAGGATTTTTCGTAGAGGTTTTAGTTATTATGGTTAGTCTTAAAAGCGATGTTTATATAATTAATTTTAACCTTTTTCAGCTGACTGCTATTTTCAGAACACACAATATGTGTATAGATATACAATATACACGTACAATTTTAACCCCTCAAAATCAAAATTTTGAAAAATCCTATCTTTGTGTACGGTTAAAATTTAAAATCAATCTAACATGAGCATTTCAAATGTAGAGCTCTAATAGGTTCGGCTTTGATTACGATAAATCAGTCACTCAGGACACTTTCGTTTATATGTATATAATATACTATATCGTATTATTATTTAGGTAAAAAATTATAATACCAGGTGATCCATTTAAGTGGGTATTCTCGGAAAGAATTCACTTTTTCCGGAATTTATTTTCTAGAACATTTAAGAAACAAGCTGCCCTACAATTTTGTATTTATGTTATTTTTTGTCGCTCTTATTTTTGAGAGTAAAACTACTACCTACTTTTGATTTTCACACGACAAACTATATTAAAATGTCCAATAAAAGATGGAGTACTAGTTAAAATAAATTTTAGTGTTGACATTTTTGATTACCCTCGATCCATTGACGAGATATTCCATTTTTAAGTTTGCGTTCAAGGATAATAGTGGAAAACCATTAATTGTATGGCGGTACGGTGCGCGGCGTGTTAATAATGCACCACTACATCTCTCCAACTTAAAATTAAAAGTAAAACATGTCGTGTACGGCTAGATAGAAATCAAAAATTCAACACTCAAATTTATTTTAACTAATACTCAATCTATTTACGGAATTTTTTATGTAGGTTGGTAAATAGGTAGGTAGTGAATCGCCCTGTATATAGTTGCTATCGAGACCGCCGTAGTCGGACCGAATTTTCGGGAGGGTTGTTAGATCGAATCGTCAATTTATTATTTTTGTTAGAAACGTAATTAGTTGTTGTATTTATCTTGATAATAATAAACAGTATTTTCAGAGAAATGGGGAGTTGAACATTCGAAACCCTCCCTCAGATAAAATACTTTGGTTGCTATACTACTAACGATGAACAAACAAACAGCAAACACAATTGTTTTCGATTGTGTTTATTTATTTGGCACTCTTGTGATTTATAAAACTTATAATGTTAATACTTCTTGGTAATGAGTGTAGTGATTGCGTAGGATGAGAAGGAAGACACAGGCTGTTAGTGTGGAGATGTTCAGACAATGGTACACCTACTAGACTCTTCAACACCTGCCGGGTTAGATGCTCTTAGCTGTTAGCAGTTAGGTTGAGTTTTGCGTAGTTGTTTGTGCATTGAAATGGTTATTTTTTTTTTCTCAGGAGTCTTCTAATAATATTGAGAAAATTCGAAAAAAATCGTGGAAAAAACGAGAGAATTCACGCAACAATATTTTTTTGTTAAATCAATTTTTTTTTTTGTAATTCAATTACGATTTTCCATTTTTATAAACCGTGAAAGTTCAAACTTTGATAAAAAAAATGTGAAAATCTTGGCACTATGCACCTAATATTTTTTCATTCATTTGGATACGATTTTTTTTGGCTCCAAAAATGCTCGAAAACTCGTGACGTAAACCACGACAATTGTTATCTAGTTTTCAATGCAATTTTAAATTTGAATTTACTCAAACATATATGTATATAAATAATGAGACTTTATTTTGAATTAGATTTTCGTTTAAAATCGTTGTGATTGTCATTACGTACAGATATAAATTAAAGTATCCTACATAATATAATCCTACCTTGCCGAGTTCTCACCTACTACAGTGACGAACTCATGGTTTTTGTGAATTTTTTTCATTAAGCTCGTGATCCCCTTTCCGGTTAATCCTTCAAAACATCCATGTATTGTACACTGTTCTAAGATTCGGATTTTCCACGGTGCATTTTTCGAAACATTTTTCTGGGCTCTAGGGTATCAACAGATTTTTAAGAAAAATAAAAAACGACACAAATTCACGAGGACACGTCGGTCGTGTTCGTGTACATCGTTTATATATGTACAATGTACATATATATATACCGTGCAGAGAAAATAATATTATGTACCTGTAAGTGTTTGGCTATACAACCTATCGAAATTAGATTGATACATTTTATTTTTTATACGGAGGCACACCCTTGAATTTTGACCTTTTATTCTGTTGATACTTGTGTTCCCTTGGTTACTCGAAAAAAAAATAACTATTTGACTTCACTAGTGTGTATCCCCATAAGCGTGTGCAGTGAGCGCAGCCAACAATAGGCATTGCAATATTTTTTTTTTTTTTTTTTGTACGCATACGTTGTACAACAGAAAAACCGAATTAAAAAAGTTGAGAAGGTAGGTTACAAAAAGTCGTTTAATTTACATTTGAACACAATGATAATTTATGAGTCACGAAATATGATTCTAAGCGAATAAGTTTTGGTACACATTCGTTACAATTTGCGTTATAATTTATACTTAATAAAAAAAAAAAAATAAATAGAAAATAATACATTACGCACACAATATTATGTTTAATGCTAAGTATGTACAAATTATAATAAACTTCTTGGCGTCGTGTACAATTTTCAAACATTTATTCTCGGCCATAGCAATTGTATCCTCATAAAATCGAACAAAAAATTAAAAAATCGTGCCATGTCAAGTACCTAATAAATAGTTCAAAGTTAATCAAATGATTTGAACAGGTCTAAAAAAAAAAAAAAAAATAACGTAAAAATGTTAGGTTTCTATAAGGTTAATTTTAATCGATTGACAAAAACAAAAAATAGTTAATACTGCTGATGGGTACTCTACTGTTGTAGGTGTGAAGTTAAGAAGGTAAGAGGCATAAAGATATTGAATTTATATCTACAACGATAAATCATTGCCACTAAAAAACGATTCTGAGCAAAGTTTAGATAACAAAAATAATAAAAAGGCTAGGCAACTTCGCACGTGAATGCAACCACTGTTGTAGGTGTGATGTTGGGAAGGTAGTAGAGAGGAAATTTAATGTATAATTGTAAGCAACGATAAACCAATGTTAACGGAAAAACGATTCTGAGTGGAGTTCAGTCGATAATATTGCTTTGTCAACAATATAATATATGTCACATTATGGTGAAACAATTAAATAAGAATTATATATTTTCTTTAATAATAGTTGTTTAATATTGTACTTGTTTTCCCGTTTTTCCTACGGGTTTCCCGGTTTTCCTATTTATTGGGACGATTTTTGTGCAAATCAAAAAATGACATGCTTAAAGTACCTTCCCAGTCAGATTTAATTTTAGAAAAAGTTCTACCGTTGTAAATCGGAACAAAATTATTAGTAGAAAAGTTGTCCACGGAAAATAAAAAACTAAGATATTTGTAAAACCATAAGCTTCTTCGCTCCACTCAGAATCTAAAATAAATAAAAACGGTTGCAAATTACAACCATATTAAATTCGGAGCATAGCAAGCGATAGGGAAGCGATTATTTTTAAAAATATTTGGGAAGAACCCGAAAGAAAAATATTATATTTAAAACGGCAAATATTTACGGCACGTCACAGAGCGTTTTCATT